GGGCCAGATTTATACAGATCAGGTTAAATCCTCTTAAAATGCCTGCCAGGTGGGGAAGCTGTTCTAGATGAAAGGAGAATTAAGAGATGTGAGGGCCGGGCGCGGTAGCTCACGCCTGTAATCCTAGCACTCTGGGAGGATGAGGCGGGAGGATCGCTCAAGGTCAGGAGTTCGAAACCAGCCTGAGCAAGAGCGAGACCCCTGTCTCTACTATAAATAGAAAGAAACTAATTGATCAACTAATACATACAGAAAAAATTAGCCGGGCATGGTGGCGCGTGCCTGTAGTCCCAGCTACTCGGGAGGCTGAGGCAGAAGGATTGCTTGAGCCCAGGAGTTTGGGGTTGTTGTGAGCTAGGCTGACACCACGGCACTCACTCTAGTCTGGGCAACAAAGTGAGACACTGTCTCAAAAAAAAAAAAAATGTGAAGACCAAATACAATGAGTGCATCATAGTTGGATCTTGGATCAAAAAAAAAAAAGCCAACCACCTATAGTGGATATTTTTGGAACGATTGAGGTTTGAAATAAAGCTCCCCCAGAATGTCTTTTCTACTCTCCTCATCCCTTCCAATGCTCACTCGACCCTGAGGGGCCCAGCTCACAGGTCCCCCCGACAGTCCCTCCCCAGATGCTCTCACTGGCCTGCTGCCCGCCCCTCCCCTTGCCCTTGCCCTTGCCCCTCACCTCTCCTGAATCTCCCTGCACACTTGCCCTTGCCCAGGCCCTTGCTGATGATGGGAATTGCTTTACCTGTGCACGTGTGTGCAACTGGAAGCAGTTAGAGGCCAGGGGTTCTGGCTTCTGTGCTATTCCCAGGCAACACCCTCAATAAATAGTTTTGCTATTGAATTTGGAAAAGGTCTTCAGATTCGAATTATACTATGTTTTTTTTTTCTGCTGAAGGCAAAGTTTCGTATTCTGAGCCTCTTGCTCATTTTTCAGAGGTGAGGGCAACGTGGGCAAGATCAGCCCCGATCCTGACAAAGCCCAGCCACCCCCAAGCTCAGAGCCCTGTGTTTATTTTACGACAATTAGAAACACGCCGGCTCCTTGGCAGACAGGTTAATACATCAGACTAACTCGTGCAACAGCCCTGCTCAAACCGTGCCTGGTGCAAGGACCTTGAGCAAGCTTTAAAACGTACCTTGGTAACAGGCTGTTGAGAGGCATTTTCCTTGTTTCATTAGAAATGGTCACCAGGGCCCCGAAGTAGAGTTTCCATTCTAGAGAGAGTCCCCCCAAACTGGATCAAACTTCCCCCTAGGCCTACTGAGAAGGGCCAGGGCCTTCGTGCAATCAACCAGCCCCTTCTCACTCAACCCTCTAGTAGACATGGGCAGGGAAAGAAGAAAGCTCTTTGGAATTGTGGACTTACCACTTTGGAGGGATGCTGTGGTTTTTACCTCCTTTCCTTGCTCTTCTGTCCCCCAGAACAAAGTGTGAGGGGCTGCAATAAAATCACTTCTAAAGATTAGTTCAGCCTGCAAGGAGAGGCCGGCATCCAGGTATCCAATTGGATGCCTGCTGGGGCAACAGATTTGACAATGTCTGCAGACATTTTTGGTCATCACAACTGGGAAGGTACCATAGATGTCCAGCCAAGGATGCTGCTAAACACCATACCATTCACAGGACAGTCCCCACAGCAAAGAATTATCTGACTCAAAATGTCAATAGTGCCACAGTTGAGAAAGGCTCATGTAAAAGAGCTATTGATCAAAAGGGAAAGGAGTATTGTTATTCTTGGGTACAACCTAACGATTGCAGCGTGTCCTCACGTCCTCGGTCCTGGGCCAGCACACCACTGCTACCCTGTTCTATGTTTTTGTGTGTTCTTATGAAAATTGTTCAGGTTGTGGTCCACACCCTTAGAGACTCACAGGCTCTGACTTTTGCCTCTGGCATTATGGCCCAGTAACTGCGTGATCCCATGTAGGTGCTTTTGAAAGAGAAGCTGCTCTATTAAAATTAAAAAACAAAAAGACAAAAGAACCCTGCGCGTTAGAATCTGGGAGAGTTTTTAAAGCTCCTAGTAGAACAGCTGCCTCCCGTGTCAATTAAATTTGAATCTCTGGGGTGGAACCTAGGCTGCCGGATTTTTTAAAATTTCCCAAATGATTCCAATGTGCAGCCAAGTTTGAGAACCGCTGTTCTACATATGCTGCGTTCTCCTGAAGTGTGTCATCAGGCGAATCCTTCGTCCTGCATCTTTCTGTGTCATCTATAATATGGGGTCTTCATTTTGAGCATCACCCTAGCCCTTGCTCTGTCGGTGGTCCTCGTCCCCTGGCCTTGTGCCGATGCTTCGGCTCCCAGTCCTTTTCGTGTCGGCTCCATGCCTCTTATGATGCAACCCTGCCTTCACTGCTGTCACCACTAGTTTACTCTTTCTTTCATTTCTTCCTCTTCCTCCTCCTCTTTGCATTGTCTCTTTGCAATGGACTCAAACTTTAATACCCAAATCGGTAACTCTGGCTTGTCTGATTGCTGGAAGATTGGGAGGGACTTTTAAATTAAGCAGTATTATATAATATAAAGAGAATGTCAATAATGTGTATTCAAAAGCACACTAATCAAATGAACATCTGTGACTTGCCTACCCCCAGCCCCAGGTCCTGACTACTGCCCCTTCCTGGGGCACACAGGTCCTGTTCATCCCCGCGCTTTGCCACTAGAACCAGCTCGGATTTTGTTTATAACTGTCTTCCCTTTAAGGGAAACAAAGTTTTCTCTAGGATGTTTGTTTTCCCGAGCAATATATTATTTGGTTTAGCTTGTGTTTGCAGGGTACCACGAAGGTAGCATACCATATGTAATCTTTGGCGACTTGCTTTTTTTCCTCAATATTTTGTTGCTAAGCTTCATCCTAGTGGCACCCAAGAGAAGGTCACTCATTTTCAGTGCTGAACGATATCCTATTGTGTAACTATACACAATTTATTTATCTGTTTTACTGTTGATGGGCATTTGCGGTGTTCTTGCTTTTTTGCTATGGTGAACAGGGCTGCAAACATCCTCTTACACGTCTCCTGCTGTGCGTGAGACGCCGTTCTCTAGAACAGGGCTTTTCACGCTGTGGTGGGTATATGGATCAGCTGGGGATCCTGTTAAAGCACAGATTCTGGTTCTGTTAGTTAGTTTTTGAGGGGGGGGGGCACCTGGAAGTGTCACCAATGCTCTGAGTTCACAGACCACACTTTCAGTGGCGAGGTTTTGGCACGTGATTGGCCAGCTTTACCGGATGATGCCATGTGGCCTTCTGTGTGGTGGCACCGATTTACGTACATCTTCTCAACGGCTTGCTGTGGCTGGTCTGAGGGTCTTGACTTGCACTTCCCTGATTATTAATAAGGTTGAGCAATCTTTGTATGTTTATTGGCCATTCACATGCATCTCCTTTTCTGTGAAGTGCCTATTCATATCTTTTGCCCATTTTTTCCTTTAGCTTGTTTGCCTTCCTCTTATCAATTTCTCAGACTTCTTCTTATCCATATTGTGTTCTGATTCAAACCCTTCATTGCCTATATGTGTTGCAAATATTGACATCCAATTTGTTTCTTTTTCACCTTTCTTTATGGTGTCCTTTGAATGGAAATTCTTAATTTTAACATGGTTGCATTTATCTATCTTTTTATGTTTAGAGAGTTTGGTGTGTGTGTGTGTCTTTAAGAAAAAGCCCTTTCTTAATCCAAATAAAGTCTGACTTTTAGTTAATAGTGTTGTACCAAAGTTAATTTCTTAGTTTTGATGATCATACCATGATACCATGTAAGATGTTAAATTCAAAGGAGGCTGAGTCAAGAATATAAAGGAACTCTTTGTACCAGTTTTGCAACTCAACTCCTCTAAGTCTAAAACTATTTCAAAATAAAAAATCTTTTCATAAGTCCATCCCTGTCCTAAAGATATAAAGATATTCTCCTGTATTTGATTCTGAAGGTTTTGCTTTTCACATTTGTATCGTTGGTCTATCTGAAATTGATTTTGTGTTTGGTATAAGGAATGGATTTAATTCCACGGTTTCCCATGTGGTTGTCGGTTGTCCCACTGTCGTTTACAGAGTTGTGTCTTCTTTCCCTAATAGTCCACAGCGCTATCTTAGGCATTTATCACGTGCGCGGAGGAGAGTGGTCCTTTACAAACCTCCAAGCTGTAAGGAACACCAAGACTTGTGCGAAGAGTACCCCTAGGAAGACATGGTGCACTCTCCCCAAACCCAAGTGCCCTTTCTCAGGGGTAGGACCTCTGGGTGCAGCAAGATTGAAGGGACCATTCACCCTTGAGTTTGCAGCTCATTCTCGGCTGTCAGTCACACCCTGCTTAACATTGTCCTTCTGACTCAGACTTTGTCAGACCTGTCTCACTCATATTCTGCCTTTCGAATCACATACTCTTCCAGATAGAAAATGACAGAGGGATGACGTTTTCTTGCTGTTTTATCTTATAGCTGAGAAAACGTAAGTGTCTTGAGCCATGTATCCAAGGCTGCCGGTGACTTGGTTGATGCAAGAACCGAGGATGGGTCCAATCTCTGGACTCCTAGCCCTACACCCAGATTTCCTTTTCCCTCTCGTGTTTCTCTTTCCCACTCACAGCGTCACTGCCTACCCACCCATGCGAGCTAGCGGTCTAGCGGCTCTCCTGACGGCTCCCTGCTCGCTTCTCTCACTTTCTGTCTTGACCGCATTCTGACATCCATGTCTCTGAAACATTTTTCAAATGTGTGGAGTTTTTTTCTCACTTGTTCCCCTGTCTGCAGCCTGCTTCATGCCTTTCTCAATGCTTGATCGGATTACGAGAGTCCTCTTCTTGGCCTCATGTATAGCCATTCCCTTCTATAATCTATTTGCATGCTTGACTGCTCTTAAAATTTTAAATTCTAAAACATGTACCTGGTTGTTATCTCCTTGCCAAGGGATGAAGTTGTAACTTTTACCATCTGCTCCCAATCTACCTTCCCTTGTGCATCTCTTACCGTCTTTCTCCTCCCCTCCAGGCACCAGGGCTGTGTCCACACTGAACTATGGGATGCTCCTAGGAAATGCTACACGTTTGAGCCTCTGACATTCGGCACATGCTCTGTCCATCTGGAGCACCCTTATTCCTTTCTCTACCTACTGTCATTGCATTTACCCTTCAAGACTCAGCAAATGCTGTCTCCTCCATGAAGGCTTCCTGAATGCGCCAGGTGTAGTTAATCACTCGTTTCCTTTTATATGGTCCTATGAACCTCCATTGTAACAAGGGCTTGCTTATGTTTCTGTATTCCTTACCAGTCTGTGAGCCCCTGGAGTTCTATAACCATATTTTATTATCTTTGCACCTTGTGTGTCTGGCCCACAGGAGACATTCAATATATTATCATTGATTGAATCAATAAATACACAAGGAAAATACTTAGAAAATGTTTTTAACATTTTCTTAATTCTTTACTCTGCAGACACATCCTAATATTGGTATCGCTTACCTATCAGTCAGGACTCTCATGGTGGCAAGAGCAGAAATTCTACTTGTATAATCTCAAGTCAAACAAGAGTCAAGTATTGGTTCACACAATCTATTGTGAAGGGCAGGACAGGAGCTGGCTCTCTGGGCAGCTGGGAACAGGGGTCCAAATGTGCTCAGAGCCTTCTCCTGCCGAGTCTGGCCTTTGGGCTTCTCTGCATGATGGCTTTCTCCCTTCTATGGGTTCTTCCAGGGGGCCACTGGATCCGTATCGACAACAACATAACAGAGAGGAAAGAGTGGCTCTCCTAAATCCAGTCTGAAACGTTTTGGAGAACTCTGGCTGAGTTTGGGTTAAGCGCCTGCCCTTAAGCCATCTCAAAAGTAGAATCAGCAAAAGAAATGAACAAAGATGGCTAAAAGGAGGAAGGAGGAGCTGGTCCCCTTAAAGATGGGAAGGATAACACCGACAAGTTATGAAGTAGACAGTCCATCCCTAAATTGGTGTCCGTTTGGAGGACAGGAGATGGAAAATGACTTTGTTTTGTTCAGCTATAGAGTTTGGACAAGAAAAGAGTCTCATATTTGCACGCTCAGCTGAAATACTTGATGAAGTGAAGGTGTCTCCCCCTAATGACATTATTTCATCTTTTGGGCAATGTCTTCGTGTTTGACAAGTACCAGGGACTTTAATTGAAAATTACTTTGGGAATATTGCCAGACATTACAAATTGAAAATATGAAAACCCTTCTCCTGGGTCAGGAGTGTAACAAGCCCCATGTCAAATGTCATTACCCCACGTGCATTGTAGGACTGTGCAGGTGGGAAGCTAAGTGTTGATTGCATATTTTAGCCCAAGAATAATTTCCTGAATGGCAATTTGTTCCTTTATTTGATGAAACCGAGGTTTTCAACAGCAGTAAAATGCAATCTTTCCAGAGTGTATTTCCGTAGGTTATGAAGATTGATTATGCTGCTTAGTGAGAGATTCATTATTTGGTTATTTAGACCATGATTTATTAAAAAAAAAAAAAAAAGTAAAAAGCTAATGATTTCCAGTTAGAAAGGTTTGTCCCCTGAACAGTGGTATTTAGCTTAGCATTGCTTCTAACTGATAGCACCGCCGGGGTGGGAGGGGGGGAGCCAGGAGACCAGGCCTGTGTTAAGCTGAGCCATTGGCACTTTCTTGAATGGCAAAGGGGTCCTCTAATTTCTCTGGATCTCAGGATTGCATTCCCCTCCTCGCGCCCCACGCTTGAGTGGATTGGAATGTTTGCGTGCAGTAGAATGGGGGCGGGGGGACAGGACAAAGTCAGATCTGGTGACCCAACTGAGGCCCAGAGAGGACACAGAGCATAGAAATGACCCAGGGAAGAGTCAAAGGCAGAGAGCTGTGTGGAAGAGAAGCAGAGAAAGAACCCAGGGAGGAGAGTGAGCGGGAGAGACCGGGCATTTTACTGACGGTCTGAGACCCAGGAGACTACGGGATGGGATGGGGTGAAGACAAAGAAAGACCCTGGTGCTCGCACTGTCTCTAGCCAGCCTCAGCTCTTGCGTGTGTGCCCGGTGTCCCTCCGCACGGCTCCCGGCTGCCAGTGTAGACACGCCTAGCACAGACTCCTTCACAGGCCCTTCCGCTGCTGCACCCCTAAGCACTCTCTCTGCAGGAAAACCAACCAACCAAAAATTAAAAAAAAACAAAAGGGTCTAGGAGGAATAGTGTTCAGAGCAAAGAGGAAACTCGGAGAAACGAGGAAGGACACAAGCAAGAGTGGCAAATGAGTTCCCTGGGGATTCTTCTGTGTCTGCAATTGTGTCCCTGCTCATGTTTGTGACACTCCAGGCACCTACCCTCTGCGGGGGCACTCACACTGTTGACCCCCGGAGGGGCACAAGAGCCCCAAGCAAGGGCCTTGTTCCTGAAGCCTCCTCTGGGGAGGAGGCCCACAGTAGGGAGAACAAGTGGTAGACAGGAACTCCTTTGTTTCTTGATAGAAACCAGCCCTAGATCCTAGAAAAATTGCCAGAAAAATCCCAGAGCAAGAGCTGAGATGATGACAATTGTAATTGCTAATTGCTGAACCCCAAAGTGGCTGGGACCTCACAGTCATGATCTTTTTTAAACCTTGTAAGAACCATGCAAGGCAGGCTTTGCTACTATTACTCTTTTATTTTTAGTTATTTTTAAAATTTTTTTAAAGGCAGGTATTATCCTCTCTCTTCTGCAGATGAGTAAACTGAGGCCCTAGAGAGCTGGGTGTTTTGTCCAAGGCCTCAACTGTGGATGGTGACAAGTTAGATTGGCCCTAAAGCCCCGACTCTTTTTTTCACACCTTGCTGTCCTCCAGCCTGTCCATGGGCCAGTCGGAGCCAATTTAGTGCCCACATGAACACATTTATATCAGACTTGATATCCACTTACAAAGGCCATTCACATCCATCACTTGGTTTTATTTTATGGCCACACAGGAGGCAGACCAGGCATCCCAGAGCAGATGAATGGGAAGTGCTTCAGGCACAAGGAGCATGGAAATCCCTTCTAAATGGAGTCTTGGAGTTTGGAAACGCAGCAATTGCAGGCCACCCTGTCTCATGGAAGGGTGCCTCTGACCCTGCCCTAGATCAAAGCACCAGGGTGCCATCTGAGGAGGGCTGCCTTTCTTGCCAGGCTGCAGGGGAGCAAATAACCCCATCATTGTGATCAGGGGAGGAGGGAAACGGTACATGCCATGGAGCCCTGCCAAGGACAACTCCCCATTCGAGCTTCAAAGGAATCCAAACTGGGAGAAGAACAGTCACTGGGGGAACAGAACATCCTTTATTGTTCCTTTGAGATGGTCCCAACCCAGTTCCCACAAGTCATGCTTCGAATTCCTTCAGCATTCTTACATTTCCTTCTCATTGTGTCTCCAGGGAAAATCCTAACCTCTCAACAACCAGGGATCTAATTTCCAAAGATACAATTATAAAGCCCATTCAAATGGTTCTTTAAAAATCTGTTTTTCTAAAAGTATCGCTCTGTAGTAACAAATTTCATAATTAGCTGTTTTGCCACGTCTCTTAAGATTTCCATTAAATAACTTCTTTTTAAGTTCATATGAGATGGAAAGATTTTTTTCCCCCCACACTTTCTACATGTCATAATTTACTTTGGAGGAAAACAAAAGTTGAGCGTTCCTTTGATGTCAGACATGTAGAGTCAACTTTTATGGTGTATTTTCAAGTAGCAAAGGCAATACTGGGCACTGAATACCAGGAAGAGGCTGGGCAGTGGTAATGGGAATTTGCTGTGCAATCACAACCTAGTTGGGTTGCGTTCATGGAGCTGTGAATGAGAAACTCAAATTTCAAAACATAATGAAAGGGTGACATCAGCAAGATGGCGGAACAGAATATCCATTAGCATCACTCCCCCAACAAAAGTACAACTAGAAACCATTCAAAGACAAGAATACCACCTTTCATTCACCAGAACTTGGGGGAGAAACAGAGAAGCCCCCTGGGCCCACAGAATTGAGAGGAAGTGTGACTGACAGCTAGAAAGGAGGCTCTTGAAAATTATCACCACAAAGGAATGCTAAAGGATTCAGGTGATGGACACGCTAACTACCCTAATTTCATCATTATACAACGTGCACATGTAGTGAAACATCACACTGTGCCCCATAAACACGCACAATTATCTGTTGATTAGGAACAAAATTTAAAAATTAAAAAAAGAGGAAATTAGGGCGCAGACATGCACAGAGGAAAGACCCTGTGAAGACACTAGAAGAAGATAGTCGTCTACAAGCCAAGAAGAGGGGCCCTCATGAGAAAACAACCTGCCAACACCTTGATCTTGGAATTCCAGTCTCCACCTCCAGAACTGAATGACAATTTAAGCCTCCCCCTCACCCCCATTTACCCACATACAGACAAATACAACAAAAAACTCTACATAATCAGCAAAAAAGGCATAGAATAGCAGAGAATGTATTGGCCATGGTATCTGAAATGTGTGTCTCTGTTCTTTGTGACTTTTGTTAGCTAGGTGATTATCAACCGCTGAAAGCTTAGACTGTGCCATTTTTGGTCTATTTCTGGGTCCTCAAGCCTTTGCACTGGGTTGTCTTGTATGGCTGGACAGGCTGTGCCCTGCCAGAGCTGGCCGGGTGCTGAGAGTCCCGAAATATAGCCTGCTCTCAGCTTTTCAAGCCAAGAGGCCCGAGCCTTCCTTCTCCTCCCTAACTCACACAATCTGGCTTAGTGGAGGCTTTGTCTAACTAGCACAGGGCCTGGCATATCAATTATTTGAAAAGATGAACTGGCTGATCTTGTGCAAGCCATGAAAACTCTGTCAGTTTCATCAGCAATGAATTTGTAATATTACAAGTGCTTAATTTATAGAGCAATTATGAGGTTGAGATAAAAACAGAACGCTACTTTGTAAAGTCCTATATGACTACAAGGGGTTGTTCTGTTAGTTTTGCAAAACGTGCAGGGCTTCCATCATGTCAATAGCCCCCAAATCAATCATCTACATGGTCTCAAAATTTGCAGTTCCACTTTTATATGCCCAAATTTTTGTTTCTCAATGAGAAAAGAACCATTCCCAATGAACCTTTTTCAGTCTCATTAACCACATTCATAGAATATTGGTTATTATTTTCTTTCCTAAGTGGAAATCTGAAGAACAGCCTTTCTGAAATAATTGCTGTTTTGCCATATTAGAAATATTTCAATGGTGACAGCTTGGAAATGCTTTAACTTTTAAATACTTAAACCAAATAATAAATAAACCCTTGTGATTAATGTTTCCAGTAGGGACGATTAACATTACCCTTACAGCTGTTCATGATATAATATCAAAATGAAAAACATGCACGAGAAAACCAGCAAGCCCATGCTGACTTCATGTCCCTTTTTTTGCAGATCGCTCTAATGTGAAGACATCCTCGGTAAGACTCAACCAACGATATTTCATCTGATCATCATTTAGCCAAACCACAACAATACTCCTGAGGCCTCTTCAGTTTCACTGACAGCATCTGTCATTTCAGTTACTGCAAATGTGATCTCTCGCAATGATGCTAGCTGGGTCTCTCTGTGGCCTGGAAGGAAAACGAATACCATTTTAATAAAAATATTTTAACGTTTTATTCTTGAGGTAGGACTTAGTAGTTCAGGAAGAGAGGTTCGTTGTTGTTTTGTTTGTTTCTTTGGGGAGGGGGTGCTTAAAAAATAAAACAGAAACATGAATGTGGGCAAATGGGTATGTTGCTGATTTAACTATTACCTGGGCTTCTAAATTGCAGGAATTCCTGTTTACATCAAAGCTGGTTTTAAAGGACAGAAGGTAGAACTATAATTTAAAAAAATCCTCAATCTTAGTAGTCACCAATTTATTGGCAGGATTCCCCAGCAACTTATAATTTTACGAGGATAGTAATAACTACCATATGCGGCAGGCTTGCAATGTGCCAGGCACTGTGTTAGGTGGCCTTAGGTGTCTTACCGGACTTCGTCTTCGTGACAGTCCCACTGAGGTAAGAATTATTTCTCTCATTTTGAAACGGAGGAAAGTGAGGCTCAGACTGGTTGCTGAGCAGGACTCCAGCCCAGGGTTGCCCGACTCAAACTATCGTTCTTGCCCACCCTGGACGACCATACGCCGCGTCGCAGCCGTGGGAGGGATGGTTGAGGAGGCAGGCTGTCACGAGTTTTAGGTTGCGAATACGAATTCTACTTCTTTAGCTCCTTCTCCTTTGCTTTCTTTTGAAATGGGTCCTTGCGTGGGGTGGGGTGGGGTGGGGTGCTGTCCCGGAGCACGGGTGGCTGCGTCTCATCTTTCCAGGTCCCTCAGAATGGCACCCCTCCTGGACGACACATCCACCCAGGGGGGTCTGCCCACTCCCTGGCTCTGGCCGGCCAACGCATCCCTGCTCACCTAGGAATGTTCCTCGCAGTGCTAACAAAGGGCAGCGGGGCTTTGATTTTGGACACATGCGCTGTGATGGATGGGCTCTGGCTGACACACTCTCCCCTCCGGGGCTCAGAAGTGACAGGGAGCAGGACAGCGGAGGTGCCAGCTCCAGGCAGGTGGGGACACCCGGAATGCTAGCCCCGCCCACCTGCCTTGATTGCCCTCTGACATACCATTCATCACGTGACATGTGGAGCCCCCTGGGGGCCTTTCCTCATATCCTGGCAGGAGGGCACATTTCAGGGGGCGTGGCCGAGTTGGTGTGCCACCACCTGAGCTGCCCTTCTTGTTTATGTAAGAGAAAATGTTCCCACGTTGCGCTGAGCTCACACTAGACCTCAAAGGTGAGGCAGGGGCTTAAGTCAACAGGGATCTGAAAAGAAAGCAGTTGTGGCGAAAAGCCCGTGACATACAGCACTCAAGGATAGCTGGGTTCCGCAAGCTGCTATAATTCCTGCTGTTTTTTCTGCTTCTAGTATTTATCCCATACTTACAGTTTTGGGGAATGCCTCAATTTGAATAGTAAAATATCTGAACTCTGGGCCCTCTAAATTCTCTTCATTGTGTGGCTCAGTCTAACCTAGAGTTGGGAACTCAGCTTAGACACCACTCCCTCCAGGAAGCGTTCCTTCATGCCCCCAAGTTTGCTTTAATTCCTCCACTATGAGCTTCCACAGCAACCGAATCTTACCCCTAGATGTCTGTATCAGAATTTTGTGTTTAATCTCTGCTTCCTCACTTGGCAGAAGGCGCCAGGTCTTGCTTACATTTCTGCACTGTGTCACCACAAACACCACACACGATAGAAAGTGATGAGGGTTGTAACAGAGACCCAGAAAAACCACACCAGGGGCTCAGAGGAGAGTAGTTTGGGTTAAAAAAGACATAGCCTTCATCAAGGAAAAGATTGTTCTTAGGATGTTTACAGATTCAAGATGCCGTGTAATTTGTACTAATGATTGCTTTTCTCTCCTTCAGTTGTAATCTTCACACTAAAAGCTCACTGATTTCCTTTCTCCAGGCATCAGGGTCTTCAGCATATGGCTTGAGGGGCTTATTTTTGGTTAAAAAGAACGTATTTTAGACTATTTTTAGCAGAGGATCTAGTAAATAACCACAGTCAACATACCTAACAGTCATGTAGTGTGATTTTATTTGAAACACAGTGATACTATTAGGTCATTAAATATGAAATGTCCGATCCCCAATCAAAAGTTTAGTTTATTATATCTCAAATAAGAAGCAGTATAATTAAGCAAAGTAGGCCCCTAAACTATCGACACAGTTTTGCCATCTTAATGGTACCTTGTTTATGCTGCAGCGAAGACGCCTAAAGAGCGAGTGGCAATGAAATCGCGAAAGGCATTTTCCACAGCTTGTTGAGAATTGAATATTTTTCCTTGCAAGAAGTGGCCCAAAGCCTGGAAGAAGTGGTAGTCAGCTGGTCTGGTGAATATGGTGGATGATAGAGAGTTTCCAAGTCTAGCTGCCATAGTTTGAGCAGCATTGCTTTTTGTGACGTGTAGTCTTACAAGGGACTCGGCCTGACTCTATTGATCAATCTTGGCTGCTTAATCGTAAGCATCCTCATCGTTTCATCCAACCGGTTGCAGTAGACCTGCACTGGAATCGATTGACCAGGTTTCATGAAGCTGTAGTGGATAATACCAGCACTGGACCACCAGACACCATTAGCTTTTTTTTGATGAATATTTGGTTTTGGAGTATGTTTTAGCACTTTGTCTTTATCCAACCGTTGTGCCGAACACTTGTGATTGTCAAAGAGAATCCATTTTTCATCACACATAACAATATGGTATAGAAATAGTTCGCCTTTATATTATGACATCAAAGAAAGGCAAGTTTCAAGATGATTTTTCTTCTGATGCTCATTTATTCATGCGGTATTCATCTGTCAGGCTTCTTCACCTTGCCCATTTGTTTCAAATGGTCCAATATTATTGGAGTAGTAATGTCAACCCTTGCTGCTAATTCACATGTAGGTTGAGATGGATTCACTTCCACTACTGCTTTCAGCTCCTCATTATACACTTTGGTCTCAGGTCACCCACGTGGTTCATTTTCAAGATTAAAATCACCAGAATGAAATTTCTCAAACCATTGACGTACTACGCATTCATTAACCACGTCATTCCCAAACACTTGGCTGATATTTCAAGCTGTCTGTGCTGCATTGTTTCTACGATGGAACTCACATTCAAAAATAACATGAATTTTTGACTTATCCATGGTTTCACAAAAATTACTCTAAAAATTTTTTGAAAGATAATCACAAGCCAAAATGTGTGTTTGAAAGAATGAAGATGTACCTTCACAACAATAATTTTAAAAACCCCACAAAAAACAAGAAGTGTCAAAATGACATGTCAGAGATATCAACTATCAAACTTAGTACTTTAGGAAACTGGACATTCCATACTGAATAACCTAATATTTGGTTGGATCATCACCATGGTTTTGTCAGGTTGAATGGCTTTTATTGCTGTTTTGAACAAGCCAAGGTTCATGGAGGCTCAGGCCACCAGGCAGGGCTCAGACCACAAAGGAGAACTTGGATCTCCTAAGCCCCAGTCATGGCGCCTTTCCTATTGGTAACAGACGGTCCCCTTTGGTCCAGAATCGACTCATATATTCGTCACCCCAGGATGCAGATGGTTATAGGGAAGTGGCCAAGTAGGAGCTGAGGGTGAAGAGGGGTTGGGCCAAAGTCACAGACCTTGAAAGGTAAAGGCTGAGGGACCTGGGCAGGAGAGGTGACAAAGAGTGAGAAGGGTCCCAGGCTGGCTGTGAGACCTCAGCAAGCTGCATAACTGCTGTAACCCTCAGAAAACCTGAGTGCTAGCTGGTCTCCACAGGGCCTTCCAGATCATGTGTCGCACAAGGTATAATAGTCTATAAACTCACAGTTCTTAAACACAATGAAAAGAATGAACCAATACCTGGAGTTTCATCATCCAGCTCTTTTGCTGTCACCCCACTAGCGTGACAAACAAAGCATACCCCCTGGAGGGCGGGGTCTATTTTCTCCTCTTTATTTATTTGCCTATGTTGGAGAAGGTGACTTTCTGATCTTTCGTTTTTTCTTCAGATGGGAAATAGCGCTATATATATTTTCCTAGTACAAAGGAAATTCTGAAATCTAAATAATGCACAAGAAAATTCGCAAATACATAAAAGAAATAATAGATTCCGTCTATTGTTGGAAGGAACCAGAGGAAACTACTATTAAGGTCTTATATTTTCACATCTTTTCCTATGCATATACACATTGTGTGAATAAATATTTGTATTTTATAAAACTAAAAATAAACTTGCATATTTTATTCATGTGATTTTGAAGTCTGCTGTTTTCACTTAGCTGTATGGCAAATATCTTCAATGAACTCGGGTCTACTATACATTTTAATGGCTACATAGTGGCACGATTGCTTTGGCCAGCCCCCAATGTCTAAAGGCCCAACAATATTCTGCTGTGATAAACAGCACTGTGGTAAATATTCTCGCTAACTCATCGGGAGGCCTCAGCATCTGGATTTGTAGAAATGGCTTTGGTTGAGAAGAGCGAGGTCAGGAAACAGAAGGCAGGAGCTGTGGCATCCTAGAGCTCTCAGGTGCTATCTGCGAGTCCTGGGAAATTCACAGAGTCAGTTCTGGGACCAGCCTAGGAGTTTGAGTCAGCATTGGAGAGGAGCTGAGCAGTGTTGGAACTGGAACTCATCTCCAGGGATCCTTAGGAGTGAGAATGACCTGAAACTAGGTCATACTTCCTGGAACTGTGTATCTCCAGTGGGCTAAAAACCTACAGCATCTTCCAAAGAATAGACATATTACCCAAAGGACAGAATGGCCACAGCTGTACCTTGAGAATCCCTCACATGTCAGACAGTTATCTAATCACGTTTGGAGCCCAGTGGAGCTGTTGTTTATGTGGGTGGAGTCTGGGAGTGGGGTGGGGGAAGGACAGAAGGAAAGGCCAAGACATGCAGACTCCAGAGGCTCAGCCTCTAGAGGAGCCACTGCTGCTGGTGGCTGATGCCAAATGGGACTAAGAAAAGGAAACCGGCATTTGTGGAATGTTCAGGCCATTTCATGTCCGATCTCATAGTGAATTTTCACAACCACCCTTAGAATCATTCTCCTGTTTATGGAAGAG